TTCCTTCCCCTAAGTATTCATGGAGCCTTTCATTCGAGAGACACAACGTTTCTTCTCGAAGGCACGGATAAAAGTATTAGGTATAAGTATGTATCTTCATTCATTTATACGTGCACTATCGCTTTCCTTAGGCAAAAATATAAATATATATGTATGTACATATATCGCCTTTTTCTTTGTTGGAAACGTAACGTCTCTTCTATTTGCTCGCACACACGGTGCTAATTACGCACTCTACGCGACACCACGTTCGCTTAGAGACGCAATGCTTCTTTTACGTGTATATGCACACTGACGCTGGCTGTTGCACAGCGGTAGTGGAACGTGTAATAGCTTTTTCACATGGAGAAGCTTACGCGCCGATTGCTTCTCTCGCCACCGACTCTACACGCGATGCCGCACACACAGAGGGCGAACCTGGCAAAGACGGGCAGGCTGGACGCTTGTATATTCTCTTTCTCTTTCTTCAACCCGATCCCCTTCCACTCCGACCCGAAGTCTCACTCGCCGCTTGTCTGTTTGTCTCTTTCTCTGTGTTCCTCTGTCTTTTTTCCACTCGCACACGCTTAGCCTTCCTTCCAGCGGACGCCGGCGAACTCGTGCAGCGTTGCCAAGCCACGCTTTCACCCGCCCGCTCACAAAGGAAAACCCGAGTACGCCAACCAATCGAACTACATTTCAGCTGTGGTGGGGATGGCGGGAGTCTACCACTACTGACATCAAGGCAACGTCGCTTTCTCTCTTCCGTTCGTAGAGAATTCGAGAGCCATGGCTCATAGTTCCCGGTAGGTAGAGGGGCAAACGACTGCAAACCCTTCTCTACCCTTGAAACTCGAGGTCAACTTTTAGGCAGAGAAAGAGAGCGAAAGGGAGAGGAAGATACACCAACTCTGACTTGTCGCCGTGTGCTCTTTCTTCTCGCGCCTTTTTTTTACCCTTCTTAGTTTCGTTACACTGCTACGGTCACTGGAATTTGCTCCACATTGGCACTTCCTGCTTTTCGCGCACCCTTTTTCCTGCGTGTTAAGTCGGCTTTACCGACCGAAGAACTCTTACTTCGTGTCACTTGTCAGTCGATATGGAAGAATTTTTTAAATTAGTCGAAAAATAAGATGCCAAAGAATTCTTTGCGATTTCTTTCGATTGAACAAAATTGTGTTTTACTTTTACACGTAAATATACATACACATATGTGTACAATTATATACTAGAATCAAAAGCATCCGTTCAAATTTTTCTTTTATTTTTAACACTTATTAAACTTTTTAGTTTTATAAATTTACAAAAACGAATAAAAGTTGGTCCAAATACGTATATTTTTTAAATTTCTTCACACGAAATATAATAAATATTAGATGTATACCTAGTAATACTAGAAATCAATTTTTTAATGCCTTAGATTATTCTTTGCTTTGTTGTTTATAATACTACTGTAAGAAATCTTACAATATGCAATATATAATGCATTATATTATTCAAATGGAACGTAAATTTTAATGCTACATATGAAATATAATTTCTAACGCATACCCTATACACTTGTGTCCTACAGTCAATGCATATAAGGTAATATCTAACTTTTATCAAAAGAAAGATCAAATCTATTAATATGGAAACGTATCGTGGGAACGATCACTATGCGTTGCCATGTTAAACGGCAAATCGAACTCCACGAAAAATTTCTAGTGTATAAAACAACGCGAAATTGCAAAGTTGAAGAATTTCGACTTTTTTAAATCGTACTCGAACAAGACAAAATGAAAATATATATCATAGATTTGTACGTCGGATATCCTTTCTTCCCACTCAACCCCCAATCAAGAGGCGGGTGAGTCGGAGGTAACCCGGCAAATCGAGAGAGAGGAGAAGAGAACCGGGTCCGGGTCAATAAGACGCGTGAGCGAGTAAAACAGAGATGGAACGAGACAGAGAAACCGAAGGAGCGAGCGACCGAGCAAACAAGAGGGAGAAAGAGAGAGGTAGAAAGACCGCGCATTCCCAGGACTAGGCAACTTAACGAACGAACGAACGAACGAACGAACGAATGCAAGAAGGGGCACGATGAACAAGGGAAATGGTGGAATGGTAAGAAAAGGAGATATATCGATGACGAAAGGAAGGAGAAAGAAAATGAGAAAGGGTGGGGAGAGGAGCTGGGGCGGGGGGGCAGGAGGAAGGGAGAGGGAGAGACAGAGAGAGAAGGCACACGGCAAGCAACGAGAGTCCTGGCTCCAAATTCTCGACTCGTGTTGGTACCACGATGTTTGTTCGAGCGAGGCTAGCCGATTCCATCCGAAACGAACCGATCTCCCTTGGAACATGCGATTCCGAAAGACTGTCAGTATGAAAAGTAACCGAATGATTTCATGATATAACATCATGATTCAAAAAAGTTCTATCATTTATCATATCTATTTCTTACTTAATTTTAGTGAATATTCGCTTCTCAAAAATTTGTAAAAAAAATTTTAAAACTTTTTAAAAAAATATAAGCAACAGTAAATATGTACATATGTATAATTTTACATACTTTCTAACTGCATCTGAACATTTTTGCAAGATTTTCATTCAGCTGAAAATATAATTTGCTTAAAAGTATAAAGTCTTGAAATTATGAACTCGTACGTGTGCAATGCGCACATAAATAAACTTCAACATTACTGAGCTTGCACCAGCGTTTCAGTTTTAGGAGCTAATTAAGTATCTATAAACTGATAAAGAATAATAATGAAATTAGAATAGAAAAAGTTGTAATATTTTTCAATGGAAAATAAAAATCAAATATTTAAGTCGCAGTGAGAATAATATTTTTGGGTACCGATATATAAATTTCAAGAGTTTAACATATCTATTTTACAATCAATTAATGAGAAGCTTCTTGGACTTTTCCATTATATTTGGGAATGGTAAGTAGTACAGATACTACAAAAAGTATTCCTAATATTTCTATTTGGTTTAAATTATGTGAAACATGTAAATATCAGATTGCATGTAATAATTAACCTTTTCAAATATTATTTATCGCTAACATATTGATTTTTTTAAGGATCCATAAATAGCTGAAATATAATTATTTGTTAGTCAATATAAAAAAAACTCAAGATACAAAGTTTGTCAACTATTTACATTTAACCAAATTTGATTAATTAATTGTATATTTTCTATTAAGTAATTGTATCAATGTTTAAGTCGCAGTAAAGTAACAAAATTGACAATTATCTGTTGAAAATTGAAAATATATCCAGATTTCCGTTCATTTTATTACTTTGACATTTGACAAGTTTGCCCTTTCAATATTTAAAATGCAAGTCAAATGATTGTAATATTTTGATGATTATACATCAATTCTAATAACAACCAGAACTTTGTCATTTTATTCACAGCATTTAATCGTGTACATCACGATTCTAAAGCATGCCATACGAAATTTTAACATAGTACGTAAGAAAAGGAACATCTATCTACTATGGACCAATGCCAAACACGTATATATACATACTTCATACCATGTGTGCAAGTGCGTTATATTTACGTTTATCCGATGCACCTGTATAAAGAAGCAATGTGAAGAAGTACTTAATATCCCTTTTCGTGTAAACGTGTATTTTTTCTCACACGTAGAAACGAATTCATACACATACGAACGTCTATGTAACGTTCTCCTGTTTTTTCTTGACATCGAATAAATGGTAATTGCGAGTTTCACGTATATAACGTTGGATGTGCTTGTCAGTATTACGCAAGATCACTTTCAATTTTATTATTCCTATATTTGAAACTACTCTTGCGTTTCGTGGTGATTTAAGTGAAATATTTTGATGTGGTTACTTAAATCCTTAACATTATAAATTGTGAGACAAATTATTCTACATATGAAGAGTAGAAAATGTTCGTTTTGTAAAAAAGTTCATACCAATTATGAAAATTGATTTTCTGTAAATACAAAAACTACTAATTCCGGTATATAATATTGAAATAATTCAAAAGTTACAGATATATTTTTGGAATCGTTCAACCCTTTGCATACATAAAAGCAATACGACGAAAATATTTTGCAAAACAGTTATGCAATAATATGCAATAATGGTTAAACTAAAGTTAATTTCTTAGTATTAAATACTTATCCTCAAAGTACTCTATGTAATATTAGACAGAACGGAATTTATCACAATACATACAAAACAATATGAACTTTTTAATATAATAAAACAATATTAATTTAATACTGTATACAAGTTATACAGGTGTTCTGTTGAAATATAAATTTCCTACTACAACTTTCATTTTATACTTATTAACGTGTTAACAGAATATAACAAGTATTAATAACAAACGAAAAATATCTACTTGCGAAATAAACTTTAAACAAAATAATACTAATTAAATAGTACTTTAAAAGATCTTTAGAAAAGCCATCATAATATTAATAGCAAACTGGTACATTGTGTTACTTGACTGTAAATAATATAAAAATTACATGAATAAA